AGTGGCTGAAATAAAAACAAACAACGAAAAATCTTCAATTGAATAGAGAAGGTACAATGAAAGTAGGGGCTAAGTGGTGTAAGCGAAGAATTGCAAAGTTTGGAGTGAAGTACTGGTGGTGCTGCTGCTGCTGCTGAATGTGGTGAGAAATATCGGAGACAAGGCTTAATATCTGCTTTAAGGTCTCGTAAGCATCTGAAGAATGCAATAATAGAGTGATGAGTTAGCTTAAGAGGGAACAAATTTACAAAGCTGCTGATATCGTTACTAACGTACATATGTGCATGTAACAATATCAATAGCGATGTTTTTAAAAACCTTATTGTCGATGGTTTATTTTCGATCAATATAGATTTTTTTATCGACATTACTATCGACACTGCTATCGACACTACTATCGAAATCTGAGATCGATACCTACATACATACATGTAACAATAATATTACCTGTGTTTATTGAGATATTTTAATTGGTATCAGTTTAAATTTTTACGCGATATGTTTATCGATAATATAATCGAAATGTTTATCGATAATGTAATCGAAATGTTTATCGATAAATTTATCGACATCTATAAGGATTGCATTATATTCATATTCGCTAAATTTCAAAATGATTTCTACGACCAAACAAAAAAAAATTGTCGACTGAAACTTCAAATAAAAAAGGAAAAGATAATAAAGAACGATAACTACTAAGCGCTATTTTTTGCCTAAAATATCAGGCAAGTATCTGAATTTATAAACTTCTCCATAAAAATTGTAAATGTAGTTTGCACTTCATTGCGTTCTTTTTGATTTTTTGCCATCCTTAATGAGGTGAGTCTGTTTTGCAACTTTTCAAGCCTTTCAAGTGCGCTCAAGCTGCCACAATATGTGGCATATCAATGATACTAAGAGTTGGAAAAAAAAAAAAAAAAAAGCGTATAACTCAATGGACTGGAAGAACCGAGCGCATTTTCAATTTAAAAACAACTGCTAGAGGCAGTTTGTGGCTGACAGTTAACTGTAAAGAGTAGAGAGATACGTACATAGGTACATCAAACGCAGGTAGTGCACAGTGCATACATATTTACACACACAGTTAAATTTGTTTGTATAAAAAAAAAAATGCGTATGTAGGTTTCACTGTATGTAGTTTCCCGTTAATGCATAAAACCTGAATGGTTTATCGTTTAATTGCTTTACGTTTTTACCAGTAACCGCTGTGTGACACTCCACTAAATCGTTGAGGTTTTTTATTCTCCCCTCTTTGTTAACTTTCCCTTTGCATTGGTGCCACATATTGTGGTTGGGCAAAACTCATTGCTCAACTGCCGTTAGGGATAATTGAATTTTTCCCTTCTGTGTAGTAAGCTTTTATCATTTATTTTTTCAATATATAGTTTATCTGGAATTAACAAAAAAAAAAAAAGTGAAGAAAAAATGGTAGAAATGGATCAATGGTAATGATGTTCGCCAACCGCAAATATGTTCACCAATTAACAAATGAAAAAAATGTTTGAATACATATTGCAGTGGCGTATTTTCTATAAACTTGGTTAGACATATGCACGTACATATGTACATTTGTAAATATGCAGTTAAGCATCTACACACCTGTACTTGAAATTTGTAGGAGTTGAACAAAAAGTCCACAATCGAAAAAAAATTAATAGCAAGTAGATTAACTCTCATTAGGTTTATTACAGCTATTTGTAAAATTTGAGACAGCAAAAAGTGAAAGCTTAACTGGAAATCTGAGCTGATTAGCATTTGTTTAATAGGAAATACTTCGTTTCAATTAAAGTAGTCAAACAAAATAATAGATTACGTTAAGTCATCATAAGAACCTTCCACTTGCAAAGCATGAAAAGCGTAAATAGGCTTTCCATGATAAAAATAAAAAAGAGCAACTAAGAACTAGTTTTCATTAGCATTACTTTTAATATACCACTTCTTAAAGCGATAGCCTCCTTGGCTTTTAGAAATGATGAAAGGTTTAGTTCAACGGAGCAGCTTGTGTTTACGGCGTGCCTTCGAATAATGAATTCTGCTTGACAGGTTAAATGGGCCACGTTCTCCACCTTTCTGAGATTCAGTCAACGAATCAAGCAATAGATTTATAAATTTCCACCTTGCGAAAATAAAATTAAAGGACCCTCTTTTATTTTATTGGGTCGCTTGTTGAGGCATCTATGTACATTAGGGTTGTGTCAAACATGCATGTGAAAAAGTAAAGTCGGAAGTTGTGTGCTCTCACGCCCTAAGATTGTTTATATCGAAAAAATATATCGCTTTTTTATTTTTTATTTTTTAATTAAAAATTATTTGGAGGTCGTTGAAAGCTTTCCATGTATTTTATATGGGAAAAACAACTTTTCGTAGAAATGGAAATGATATGGAATTCTTGAAAATCAATATTTTTCGATCGGAAAACTCTGTTTCTCACCAGGAGATTCCCAGTAATAATACCCAATTATTTTCTTAATAATTTTTTCATAGTAACTAAATATATTTTATAGGTCAACTAAAAACACCAGAAAATGCAATCTTTAATATTTAAAAATTTTAAAATAAAAAATTTGCTATTAATATTGGAATTATACTGAAGAGAAGCAGAGTCTTTCGATCGAAAAATATTGATTTTCAAGAATTCTATACCATTTCTGCAAAAAGGTTTTTTCCCCATATAAAATGCATAGAAAACTTTGAGCGCTTTGAGCGACCTCTAAATATATTTTTTATTTAAAAAAAAAAGTAGGGGTATATTTTTTCGATATAGAATAATCCTGGGGGGTGAAAGCAATAAAATTCCGACTTAACTTTTGTTTTTTTACCACCCTAATGTGCACACATACATAATTATTTCGCCTATTCTTGGGAAGTAAAATAATCAAATACGCTGATTTCTGTATGAAAGCATATCCAATAACTAAGTCAACTTAAATTTCTTTATTTATTACGAAATCACCAGATATATTTACCAAATTCGTATCCGAAGACACTGAGTCCCAGAGATTGGGAGCAATCAGATATCATAAAGTTAAAATCCCACGCCCTACTTTTCAGGCAATCGGCGATTTTGATGGTTACAGCGCTCCATCTTATATATAGTAAAATGACTTCAAGCTCAATAAAAATCGTTTACTATGATTTATTATACCAAAAAATAACAAAAAAACGAAATTATTTAGGTATAAAAATTAGTTTTTTATCCGTTACACGGCTTGACCCAGTTGAATATCTTTTTTTTTTGTTCGCTCGGATGGCTTGAACGGAAATAAATTTAGAGAGTTGCCACCTGTTTGAAAGTTTGAATTGAAGTAAATCGATAAAATAAAGTAAACAGTCCAATGCGGGTGTTGCAGGAAAGAGGTTTAAGAAGGCTTACAGTTAAAAATACTGTTGAGTAGGGTTGCCACCTGTTTGATAAATTTTATTGCATTTAATTTAATCGATAAGATAAGTGAAATATACAATATGGGTATCAAACTAAAGAGATTTAGGACATTTTACCGCCGAAAGTATTTTCGAGTAGGGTTGCCACTTGTTTGAAAAATTTAATTCTATCCGATTGACAAAATAAATGGGTGTCAAACTAAAGAGGTTTCAGAAAGTAAAGCTTTCGAAAGTACTTTTGAAGAGAGTTGCCACCTATTTGAAAAATTTATTTAAGTTCAAGTGGTACAGTATTTTAAATATTAAAATATGGGTATCAAAAAAAAGAAGGTATTGGAGAAATCTTACTCAAATTCAAAAATATTTTTTGCGCGCAGTATCACCAATTTTGAATTAGTAAACTTTTGAAGAAAGTGCGCGTGTTATATGAATGTTAATTAATTTTGCATGACAAAGTCTATACTTTCTTAATATGTAACTTCGAAAACATATTGACTACCATCCACATTCATAAAGAATAAAGAAGACTCTAAATGCTTTATGAATCGAGCATATTTTATTTAAAACTCACTTTACAAAGCTGTTAAAGTGCCGTTTTCTCAAGCAAGTTTTAAAATTTAACTGCCCTTCACACCATTTTTTTTTTGTCAGAATATATATATACAGTTATAAGTAACTATGTGAACAGCCCTTGGCTCGTTACCTCATAACTCTATTGCAGAAATGTCGTTAATATTGTATTTCTTGTTTTGATTTATTTTTAATAAATATTGTTAGCGTTTAGTAGCGTTAGTAAAATAGTGTAACAAAAGATTTTTTAGCAAGAAAATTTTGTTAAAACTGCACCAAAATGAATAAAATATAATAAGTTAGGCTTTCATTAGAGCTTTCCTTTCACTATTTGGCTTCTAGTAATTTTAAGGTTTAACAAATTCGACTTACTTTTTTCCCAATAGTATTTTTCTTCCACATTGTGCATATAATTATTTTCTGTTTTCTTCATGACTTCGGTAATACGACATGGTGTATTATATATTTGTAAACAAAACTCAACTTGCCTACACACAGTTTCAGTCCCGGAATATATTATACAATTACTTATGAAACGCTAACAATATTTATTAAAAATAAATTAAAACAAGAAATACATTATTAACGATTTCTCTGCAAAAGAATTATATGTTAAAGAGCCAAGGGCTGTTCAGATAGTTACTTATAACTGTTATCTTAATTATACCCAATGAATTAAAAAAAAAAAATATGAGAACAAAAATTTGTTGTGAAATTTTTATAATATTGCAATTCTTGAACGTCAATATTTCGCAAAAAAAGGCTGATACGATTTTGGTGAAATTGGATTTTGGTTACGTATGTCGGTGATAACGAGCCAAGTAGCATTTTCAATTTTTATCGTACGTTTTAGTGAACTTTTAACTAATTCAGGAACAGTGTGTCTTCTTAGCAAACGAAAAAGTTACCAAACTGAAAAATAAATTACCAAAAAAAAAAAACCAAATTTGATAAAGAAAAAGAAAAATTACCAATTTTGATAAAAATTATTCCAAAACGGCAGCGCTGAACACATTTTCATAAAAAAATTTACATATTTTTTCACTTACTGTATAACTTTATAGTGCCATCCATTTCTCCTCTGGGATTTTTCGCTACACATTTGTAACTGCCATAATCGCTTTTCTGCACATGTGTTATGGTTAGACGCATGGTTGCTTTATATGAGGGATTACCAGCAAAAGTTTCGGTTCTGAAAGTAAATTGAAAGAAAGATTGATTGCATTTAAAAATTCTCAAAATCGTTTTTTTTTTTTTTTAATTCAAATGCAAAAGTAATAAAGTTCATTAAAAAAATATTAGCTCTAAAAGGAGCGTACACCAGTTTGTGAAGGGAATTTTTTCTTTGGCCGTATTTTTTTTTTAGAAAATCTTTATTGCTTAGATACATGTCTTTTAGCAAAAGAAAAAATTTAATTTCTATTTTTAATGAGTTGAATTCATTCATCTTCACACCACGTCTCTTCTGCATGAGTTTATATTTGTAAATTCACATTTACATTTCAATGTTTTTATTGCACTTTCTATGACAATTTTTAAAGATGATAAGAATGCTTTTTAAGTGATCTCAAGGTCAAGGTGATAAGAGGCATGTATGTACGTATATATGTATGTACAAACACCGTCTATGAATTTATTACAATAAAATGGTATTGAGTTTTTCAACGCCTTTATGAATGGTGATTGTGTATTCAGAAGTGCCAACAAGCCAGAGGATTGTAATTTTGTGGGCATAAATTCCGCTTGCAGTAGGAAAATAGATACAAAATAAAATAAGGATGCTAGGTTAGGTTAACTCCCTTAACTGTGGACGCATACTCAAGACAACTATTTATGCTATCCATTGTGGTTCCCTTAAGAGGAGGAGGAGGAGAGGGAAAGACACATTCCATTCTTAGCATCGGAAGTGTGGAAGAAATTCGACCCGCGGTGTTTGAACCTTAGGTCTGCTCGGGCAGGTCACCAGAGCAGCTGGTGTTGAGATGATTCGACCTAAATAACCATCCTCCATGCAGCTAGTACAATAAGGGTCATCGATGATATTCAGCCTTACTGTATGCTTACCTATCACGCAATGACCAGTTAGAACTCCCACGAGTAGCGTAGGGTACAACTTGCCTAGCCTCAATAGCTCCCTGGATGGCCTCTGATCTACATTCGGCCATACGGATTTAGCCAGCTTGTGTTCCAAGCTCTTCGCCTAGCGCACGCTGAGCTGACTAAACGCCCATCTGTCCAGTAGTAGAGCAGAAGAGGTCAAGGGAGCACCCAGATTTCCTCCAACCGAGAGCAATTCTTTAAGGATTTCCTGCCTTGCCAGCCCATAGGCCGGCCAATTGAGCTTAATGGCAGAGTTACCCAATGCCTCTGCTTGGTGATACGGTAGCCTGAATGTCAGCTTGATGGAGAGTTCTTCGCGGATGACGCCTCCACCTACCCAACCATTCAGTTTCGATCCGACTGTAAATAAGGATGCTAAACATGAAGAAACAAAACAAAAAAATCATTCCTTGAGCATTAAAAGCAAGTGTTATGTACTTGCCCTACTTATTTGCATCATTCTCGCAAGGTTTACTAGCATCTAATAAAGTTTCAGACCTAGACAACTTTTTGATAGCATTCTCAGTACTAGGGCAGTGCTGTTAGATGGCCTTGTAAGTGATTTAGTAAATATTTTCAATTGAGTAATTTACATTTGTTTCCAAAAAGTTTCTATTGATTATTTACTTTGCAAATCATAATATGAACCAAATCGCTCATGCTACTGGTGCTGCTTCGACTTCGAGCCACTTTTGCTTTGCTGTTTTATGAACCTATCTGCTGCAATACACCGCTTAAAAAGATAAGGTTGTGTGGGTGTAGAATTTAGCTACTAATAGATTTCTACTACGACATTGAATAGTTGAAATAATAAACAATCGTCGTTTGTCACTGAGAAATAGATGCTTTTATATGCTCTTTAAATTGAATTGAAAAGATTAATGGCATACATATGTATGTACATTTATATGAATGTGTAACTAATTCTGAGAAGGTCTAAAGCTTACATAGTACATTCTTATATAGTGCAAGCTCAAAGTAAAGGATGCTTTACAACGAGTAATCGAAATTAAGAAAATATTGCAGTAGGGGAGAGGTTATAGTAAGCGCCATAAATTTGCCGAATCATTGTTGGTCAAGTAATCTATGCCCTTGATAAAAATGTATTAATGTCAGAGAATAATGCAAAAATGGGAATTTCGAAAATTTTATTTTAGTGTTGATGCTTTTTGGGTTAAAGTCTTTCTTTCTGACTTTCTGTTACTCACTGGGCGGTGGTGTCGGTTATGACATGGCGAATGTTAGCTTTCGAGTGAGCCAGAGCTGGAAGTTTATTTGCCCTTAGTTTTGCTAAAAAAAACAAGTACAAATATGTCAAATTTTGATTACCGCTTGACAACGCCGGCACGAAAATTATGATACTGGTACTTCTAAACGAAGTATCTACGGCGCTGTAAATGGTCAGCTTACTTTTGTGTGGTGGTAGTGTTCGACTTTAAACGCACTGGTTACACATATTTGAAATGGTTGGGACTGAAACTTCTAAACTAATAATCGATATTTTTATCGGGTTTGTTATCGATTTTGTTATCGAAATTTTTATCGATTTTGTAATCGATATTTTTAACGATTTTGTTGTCGATATTTTTATTGGTTTTGTTATCGATTATTTATCGATTTTGTTATCGACTTTGTTATTAATTATTTATCGATTTTGTTATCGATATTTTTATCGATTTTAAATTCAATATTTTTATCAATATTTTTATCGATTTTGCTGCTAATATTATTATCGATTTTGCTATTGAAATTTTTATCGAATTTGTCATTGATTTTGTTTTCGATATTTTAATGGATGTTATCGATATTTTGTTGGATGTTATTATCGATTTTGCTATCGATAGAGTATAGAGATAAAATTGAAGATAGAGGAAAACAGAACAACATAAATGTAATTAGAACAGGGGTAGAGGTAGGGATCTAAAATATTAATTAGATAGAAAAAAGGCAAAAAATATAACCTTAAGCAAAAGCAGATGTATGTATGTATGTATGTATTGGTAACAAATACGGTATCGATAACATATTTTATAGCGTTAACAAAAACATATCGGTAACAAAAAGTTCATCTATAATAATAATCCATCGGTACCAAGAAATATATCGATAGGAAACATAATGTAGATAACAAAAAAAATGTTGATAATAAATATGGTATCGATAGCAAATAATATGCCGATAACAAATAATGTATCGATTGCAAATAATTTTTCGATAACAAGTAGTGCACTTTGCGACTTTTAAAAGTTCAAATCTGGTCAAATTAGACTACATATGTTAGGTACGAATGACCATTAATTATTCAGAGATACTACACACATAAATATATAGGTAGTGAAAAAATCTAGCATCATTGCTGAAAATTGCAGAGGTGAGGTAGGAATTACGTATGCAGGAAAGCAATCAACAGCTGGAAGGGGTAGACTGTGCGTGGATGGAATTTCAGAGCTCATTACGAGATTATATGTAGAAGAATGAAAACAAAAAATGGCGTTGAACTGCACAAACGAAATCTGTAATACGGTGTTCACACGAGAAGATTCTACAGGTAACTTTTAGTTGGAAGCAACAATCGCCTGGTGTGAACGGCCTTTCAAGTAATCGATTCCAATGAAGTTGGGGCAGCCAACATTTGATTCAACTAATCGCTTCTTAAATTGCCTGGAAAAACGCCACATATGAACACCGTTTAAGGGACGATCTGTAAGGGATGATAAACCACATCTGTAAGGGATGGCGGATGTTCCTTACAAAACACATCATTATGTACAAAAAAATGTTTTGTCATTCGAAATGTGGAAGCGCTGGCAGTACTCGGGCCTTAAATATGACGTATAGAAAAATTTTATATATACATATATTTATATTCTTCTTTGGTTTTATAATAATTTAAAATAGACTTTTGTTTTCTAATATTATTTAGGTTAATCTTCAACAGTTTTGACGCTACACCTATGACCATAGCTGATACTGATTAAGACGTAAAAGACGTAGATAAGCAGAGCGCGTAAAAAAATATGAGAGAACATTGAATGTAGATTGATCGCAAAAGTAAACTAAATACATACAAAAAAGTATTTTACAAATTTACTTGTACTTGTAAATAAAGAAGAAAACAAACAACTGTAGCGAAAATGGCACACAATGCGAATTCGCGAACAATAAAAGGCAACATTTTTGCGCAAACAACACAATAAAAAAAAGCGCTGAATCAAAATAAAAGCAGATTAAACGAAATCACAATGACACTGACCGGCGGCGGCGGGATCAGCGAGATTAAAGCGTCGTCGCGAATAGGTGTCACTTCGCTTACTCGCCATTAGCTGAACGTAGCGGCCCAAATCGGACAAGCACACGGCATTAGTTGAGCGTTACGAGTGCGTGCAAGCGGTGTGGTTTGAGGAATAAAAAAAATTCGCTCCGAAAATAGAAAAAACTGCAATTTCTATACAATTGCCTAATTTTTACTAATTCAAAGTTTTTTTTTTTTTAATTTTTGGCAAACAAAGTGAATGACCGACTGAGAATTTAATTTCAAACGTATCCCATTCGCTACAGTGTGTGTGTGTGTGTGTTCGTAGCTTTCCATCGTGCGAAATGCTTAAATTAAGCATTATTTGCACATTGTTCGCGTCCATTATTTGGCGCACTACGCCAACCAATTGCAGCCGGCCGTCTGGTCATGGCGGCAATGTGAATCAAATTTTGGCAACGAATATCCAAAATTACATGGACACAACGGCGCGACCATGCGAAAATTTCTATCAGTACGCTTGTGGCCACTGGCCGCAACAGCACATCGAGCAATTGGATTTCGGCGATACGCTCGGCCTGCTAGATTATGAGCTAAACCGCAAGCTGGAACATTTGCTGCGGCGCCAGGCGAACGCCAGTGCCATCAATGCGGTCAGCAGCACAACTACCGCCGCCACTGCCACATACACCGACAGTCAAACAGATGTCGCTTCCAATTTTGTCACTGGTGCCGCCGCTTTGCTGGAGGAACCATACCCCATGGTAGGCGACCTAGTTGTTGAACCACAGCCCTCTTCGTCGAGCACAACAGCTGCCAGCTCCACGGCGTCAACGTACTTGACGGAGGATTCGGTGGGCGAACCGCTAATTTACGAGAAAGTGCGCACCTACTACCGCTCCTGCAAGAAGGTGAAGCCGTACAATCTGAAGAAGTACTTGCAGCTCATACAGCCCGGCTATGGCGCACACTGGTGCATCTTGGCACGCAATGGCGGCAAGAAGTGGCACGCGGAGCACTTCAATTGGCTGATGGCGATTGCCAAGTTGCGCTTATATGGGCTGAATGGCGTGCTGCTGAAGGAGGAAGTGCTGCCGCGCTGGGATGACTCTAGTAGCAATAGCATCTATCTGGATAAGCCGAATCTGGCTGAAACGGAGCCAACGGAGGAGGGCATAATGATCGAGCTGCTGTTGGATATTGGTCAAACTAAGCGCGCGGCTAACGAGGTGGCACGTGAAGTGCACACTTTTTCACTGCGGCTGCACAAGCTGCACGAAATTGAGGATGAGGAGGGCGCCAAGGAGATGCAGCTCGGCTACCTACAGGAATATGTGCAAGAAATTAATTGGCTGGAATTGTTGAAACAGCTGAAAGGGCCCTCCACCAGCCTCGCGACGACGGTCATCATACAAAATATACCCTACATGCGCGCCTTGGCACGTCTACTCGCCGTCACACCCAAGGATACGCAGTGCAATTACATTATGCTGAAATTCCTGCTCTATCTCAAGCAGCGCGGCCCAGCTGAAATTTCCAAGCACGAATGCATCTCGAGCTTGCGGCGCGCCATGCCGCTCGCCATGAGCTACATAATTGGCCGCCACTACTACAAGGACGCTGCGCAGACAGACGAGAACGTGCAACAGATTTTTGCGAGCCTCCAGCAGAAGTTCTACGAGATCGTCAGCGACAATCGGCTGCAGTTGCAACGCCCAATTGTGGATACGCTACTGCAGAAAATCACCAGCATGCAGCTGCAGATAGGCAACTCGCCGCGCAAGGCTACAGCGGAGTACTACGATGAGTACTACGAACGCGTTGAGCTCGATCCGAACAACTTCTATGTCAATCAGCTGAGTTTGCTGCGCTTGGCCGTCGAGAAGAGTCACGAGAGTTTGGATAGCGTGGTTGTCAGCAATTTCAGCACGCCAGAAAATGATTCCTATGTGCTGTTCGACTGGGTGGGCAGCTCTTCGTCGCCGTTGTACGTGAAGCCCAAGAATTTGATCATTGTGCCCTTCAGTTACCTTCAAATGCCCATCTATCATCGCGGCATGCGCGACATCTTCAAATATTCGGTGCTCGGCTTCAGCATCGCGCACGAGCTGCTGCACGGCTTCGACTCGTCGGGCATCGACTACGATAGCATTGGCAACATAATGGGACCCAGTGAGGAGATCGCCGCAAATCAGCGTTTCATGCACGGGCTGCGCTGCATGCAGAACGAGTTGGCCACCGGCTCGCGTAGCTTGAATGAGAAGTTGGCCGACTATGAAGGCTTCCGTCTAGCCTACGACACATACTTCAATGGCAATGTGTCGCATGAGTGGGGCGGCGTGCTGACCAAACTGTTGCCGCAATTTACGGACAAGCAGCTGTTCTTCATCAACTTTGCGCAATTCTTCTGCAGCAAAGTGCAACGTAGCCTACGTCAGACCGCCTACTTGGAGCATGCAATCGATGAGCTGCGAGTTCTACAAACGCTGGCGAACTTTGAGGAATTCTCGCGCGAATTCGGTTGTGAGCGGCGCGCGAAAATGCAATCGAAACATCGTTGTAAGCTGTGGTGAGACAAAGGAATGAGCTGGGAGGCCAAGTGTGTTTCTTCGTCGTTGAAAAAGGCAAAAAAAATAATAAACGAATAATAGCGAAAACAAAAGAAATCAATAGAATGAAAATAATTAAGTGAACGGGGCAATAAAGACGATTAGTGCGTAGACAGCGCAAGAGAGAAATAATGCTGCTCTCATTACAGTACTGATGTAAAGTAGAGAGAAAGCAACAAAATGCTGGAACTTAAACATTTAATAGTGATTGATTTTGTTAACAAGTGACAAAGATAAAATATTCATAGAAAGAATTTAAAACAAAAATGCCCGACTTATATATATTTTTAGCCCAAAAAAAAATGTAAAACTAAAATTTGTGTTGTAGAAGTTACCTAAAATTTTTTAGCTAAGAGAGTTGGAATATGCCTAATAAAACTATTTATGTAGATACAAAAAAAGGTGAAAATAAAAAAAATTTACTTTGAAAATTTTTTCAAAATAAAAATAAAAGTTCTACACACGAAATCACAAAAAATAAAAAAAAGACTTTAACTTCTCGAAAAATCGAAATTTTTTTTATAGCAATGTGATTTTATGAAGCTCTTCAAATTAATTGAATTGTTTTTAGCTAATAACGCGTCCAGTAAGAAATTCGAAGATTTGGTCGAGTGTATATTAGTCCTTAACATTAAACTTTTACAAAAATTAGTATTTCAAGATTTCCAGGACATTCAAGGATAAAATTTTAAAATTAATAAATTTTTTTTTTTAGCTAATAACGTTACTAGTAGGAAATTCGAGGATTTGGTCGAGTGTATATTAGTCCTTAACATTAAATTTTTCCAAAAATAAGTATTTCAAGATTTCCAGGATATTCAAGGATAAAATTTTAAAACGACATTTTTAATACCTACTTGTCCTTATGCACAAAAAAATGTATTCTGCTTTTATTCTACAGAATTTAATAAAAAAAAAAAAATTAAGTACGTTCGTTCAGAACGAAAAATGACACTGAAGATGGCACAATGCCGAAACCGGTTTGTCTGCGAACCAAACTTGACAAGGGATGACGGAAATTCGTTCCAAAATAAATCAAATTTGAAATATTCTTGAAACCTTAATGTTTATTTAAGCGTCCAGTTATCTATATACGTATATAAAAATGAAATGTTTTTCGTATGAACGCGATGCCTGACCAAACGGCTGAACCGATTTCAATTCTGTAAAAAGTACTTTCTTGGACCTTCTGTGTGGAAGGTTTTTCGATAAAAAAAAAAATTCAAAACTAGTTGTTGTTGTTGCCAAACAATTAAGAAAGCTGAGATGTCACAATTTCACAATTCCATAGAGTTTTCTCTATATTGTATGTCACTAAACTACTAAACGGCTGGACCCACGAACTTGAAATTTAATATGCAGACATATCAATGGTAGGTGCTTATGGGAGGGTATATATAAACGAGTTTGTAAAAGGGGGCGTGGCACATCCCATAGGCGTGGAATCCTTTATCAGCTATAACTTCGGAACCATAAGTCCCACGAACTTGAAATTTGGTATGCAGATATATCAATGGTAGGTGTTTATAGGAGGGTATATATAAATGAGTTTGTGAAAGGGGGCGAGGTTTATCCCATATTCGTTGAAAGGTTTATCAGCCATAACTTCGGAACCATAAGTCACACGAACTTGAAATCTGGTATGCAGACATAGCCATGGTATGGAATGAGTTTATAAAAGGAGGCGTGGCACATCCCGTAGGCGTGGAATTTTTAATTAACTATAAATTGGGAAGCATAAGTCACTTGAACTTGAAATTTGGTATTCAGACATAGGTATCTAAGGGAGGTGTTCAGAGTAAAGTATATATAAATGAGTTTGTAAAAGGGGAATATACATATATATATTTATCTATTAGCTAACTCGGATATTTAAAACTGTGTGTTTTTTTTTTGAAACCTTACCGTCTTTAGATTATTTTGAAATGGAAAGACTAAATCATTTTTTAATCTCGCGATGCTGTTAAACGAAAAAGGTTCGCTCATAATGAATAAAACTCCTTCCGAATTAAGCATTGTACTAGAAAAGTGCAGCTAAATAAAACTGCAAATCGAATAGGCAGCTAAACGGAATGTATCGTAGTAGAATAATTTTAATTTGGATATTTGATCGTTACCTTAATCTATCTAATATTAATAATGGAACAAACTTTGTAGTACAAGTGATGATCAATATATATTAGTTATAGCACGATAAAGCCAAAAGTATGGCTCCTAAGTATGTCTTAATGTAAACAAAGAAAATGGCTTGTCTCCTTTAAATTATGCTGAACTGAATATTTGTATTACTGTTTTATATTTTGATTTGTTTACCCCGAACCACGGTGGGTGCTCTGGTTGGGACTAGAGCCTAATAATGACCCGTCCAACAATACCGATAACGTCTATATTTTGGACAACAAAATTTTTGATTTTTGCCCGCTCACAAAGCACTGTGCGTCAGAGGGAAAGACAAAAAAACCCACTTTTTCTACATTTGGCCCATGTTATCGCAAATATATTTTGGTGTGTTAAATTGACTGTCGCACGGTGTTATTATATTACATATTAAAGGTCTCCTCATTCATCTGAACAATACATGATCGCTTAAATAGTGTAGACTGAGGTCCTTGACCACAGGAGCCAAACGCAGCTACTTAATTACGATCTATGTATGTATATTCGCTCTGGGGGTTCGCATATTCTGATGGTGGACGCAGTAGTTGCCAAAATAGCAACCTTCTTAGCAGAGATTTCCCAAGCGGGTGTTAAGTTATTTGCACGAACAGACTCATTTCGTGTCGACGTTACGGTAACCGGAATAATTTTTGGACGAATTAATACAGTGCCCGTTGGCGACATACCGGATATATCGTATCTATAGATATAGTAAATGTTAGGTTTTTATTTTCAAAACATTGATGCTCGTAATAAAATCAATAGCCTAGTGTTTTTTATGTTTTTTGAGATTTTTCAAGATTTCGGATTCTTTGCGTCTTGGTTTTAGAGTCACTGGGAAATTTTCGGGATATTTGTGGATTTGTCGGGAATTTTTTTGAGAGGTTTGGGGATGCCTCAGAATTTCTTAGGATTCTTTGGGTTTTTAGCTCAAACTTTCTTAAAAGCCAGAAAATAGTCAGCCCTTATTGCTGGAAATTGAGATTTAGAAAGACACTTTCGGTGCGTTCGCTGCTTCGGCATCGTTCGATCGTTCGATTTTCAAATATCAGGTGTCAAATGTGAAGGCCTTGGTATGTATATGGGCAATAAGATTTTACTTTTTCGAAGAGTTGACCGTTAAATAAATTTTTACAAAATGGGTATCAATCGAAATGGTTTTGAAAAGCTTTATTCCTTAATTTAACTGTAGTAGGGTTGCCACCTGTTTAAAAATTCAATTAAATTTGAATTAAGGGAATTAGGTAGTAGAAATATGCACCACCATATAAGCGCCAGACGAAAAGAGTTTAGGAAGGTGTAGTTTGCAAATATTTTGAAGAGGGTTGCCACCTGTTTGAAAAGTCGAATTTAGTTAACCTATACACAATGGAATATTGAACCATTTCAAACGAAAGAGTATTAAAAAGCCTTTACATTGAACACTATGAATATTTTGAGGTGTTTAAAGAGGGTTGCCTGCCGTTTTAAAAGTTACATTCAAATTTTTAACTAAATGAACTATGAAAATATTGATGTCGGTCGAAACGGGTTTGTAAAGGCTTTATTTCTGAACGCTATTTACGCGGTTGCTACATATTAAAATATTTATCACAATGTCAGACGAAGACGATATTTAAGAAATATTAAAATACGAGTGTTAAACGAAAGAGTGTTAAGTAGTCCTTGGTTTGAACATTTATAAAGTTTGAAGACGGTTGCCATGTGTTTAAAATTACATTCATATTATTTAATATGTTAAATGGCTTACTAAAAGATGGAAATCAATCGTAATGGTTATGAAAAGGCTTTATTTCTGGCATATATTTAGGAGGGTTGCCATGTGTTTGAAAAATCAAATTCAACCTAATTCATCAGTTAATTGAAATTTGCATCGCAATGTTAAGCGAAAGAGATTTAAATTTGAAAATACTGTAGAAAAGGATGTCTACCTGTAGGAAAAGCTGCATTTTGTTAACTTATACCCATGTTTTATGAAATATTAAAATATGGATGACAATCGAAAGAGATTTATGAAAGCTTTATTATGAAAATATCTTTGATTAGGCTTGCCACCTTTTTGAAAATTCATATCGATCTCTCTAAATAAATATATATTATACGAGAAGTAATTTTTTTGTGAAGGTAATTAGATTTGCACCGTTCTTTGGAATTTCAAAAATGAAAGATCAAAGTAAAGACATTGGCCTGTAGATACAGGGTGATTAGAAAGTTGATGATATTAAAAACCGACATTATGCTGGACCTCTCTTCACTCAGAATCGGCTCAACGGATTTAGATGAAATATATTATTATGAAGATTACCTTGTTGTTAATTGTTATAATTTATTTATTTAAAATTAAATATATATGCTTAAATCAACTTATTTTATACAAATTTATTTATAACCACTTCCTTGTACTTCCTTGTACATTAATTTGCATCGCTCATTTACTAAAAGACTGTCACAATTCAAAAACCCGGATTTTTCAAGAGACGCGTTAAATGCAAACACACTTTTCTTCATTGGTGTAACGGTTAACGCATAATATGCTCATATATATGGCTCCTTTCTCATATTTCCACCCTCCCGCTAATACAGCTGACACTTGCGCTCCGGGTGCATTGCATCGCCCAACGTGCACTGATATTCCTCGGCGAATGGTTCAAAGTTCAACAACGTCTGCTGCAGACGCACATCATCCGCATCATGATCGGTGAACTCTGCAAGCAGATTACCGCAGAAAAATTGCGCGAAGCTCAAGAAGAACAAACGTTTCGCCGGAATGGCAGTGAATTTCGGCTGATGCGCATTTAACAAAGAAGAATTGGCGCCGAAAAGCGCATCGAAGGCCAAACGTAGGCCCACGATGTCGGCAATGCGTTCATCAACGCTCACCGTTTCACTCTGTTGTAAGCACTTCAGCGACGATTCAAATCGCGCGCTGCTGGCGATATGCCTGCCAAATTCGCGTTCACTACCCGCATAGTCGTAAGATAAGCCGCTGGTATCGAAGCTGTGCATCAGTTCGTGGGTGAGTACAAACCCGAGCAGGCCCAACTTCAGTATGTCGTGCATATCGATGTGAAACATCGGCGGCTGTAGTATGCCATAGGGAATGACGATCATATTTTGGCGGAATAAGTAGTAGGGCGTGCAGCTGCGTGCATCTTCACCGCTGCCGATGTAGAAGTAATCAGCGGGCGAGAGTGGTGCGATGAGTTGTGCGTGTTGTTTACGTGCGCGCAATTGCAGCAGCTGCAAATGGTTTTTGTAGTAATCTTTTTGGCTTAGAAGC